TATTTGGATTTTAATTGGTTTTTAGAAGGGGTAATTTTGTATATTGTTTTAACATGCTGTGAGCCGCCCTGAGTCCCATGGGGAGAAGGGCGGCATATAAATTTTGTAAAATAAATAAATAAATAAATAAATAAATTTAACTACAGCAATATACAATTGCTGCTCAATTGAATATGGAAGAGGGAAGGAACCCAAAAACAAGACTTTGCTGAAATGAAGGTCAAATGATGCTAAGGAGTAGGAAGGTAGCATGAGGATTGGAGTACCTAATCAGGAGTAAGACAGAAAGGAAAGGGGTGTGTGGAAATACTGATGTCTGTTGTTGTGGAGATGTGATCTGCTGGCCTAATTAAAATAGCTGCTTAGGCCAATTTTATTACATTTTATCCTGGAAAGGCAACAAACTTGCAAAGGGCAGTTGGTGTGCTCCAGCCTTCCCCAGTCTGGAAATATGCTTCTTGGCTGTGGAATCTGGGGGCTAGAGTCCCAATGCATCTGGAAGAAGACCAGTATACTTTAATTTCCATCTCAATTGAGTTGCTTTAAAAGGGGATTTACTGCCACTTGAACTTTGTTTCTCTCCTTGGCCAGCCTATGGCTGAGAATTCATGGCTGCATTTACAGCTGTTTGAGAGTCAAAATACCCTTTATATTTACATTCTGAAATAGTTGCTTTTTGAATGTTTAAGAGCAAGAATTATCCATCTTCTGATGCACTCACCTCTCATGTTTTTGCAGAAGTAGCTGGTCTGATTGTTTCTCATGACTATGAGAAGATTAATCAGAACTAATAATTTATGCAGAAATGAAATTGGTGGTTCATAGGAAAATAATGAATTTTTCACGGCACTCATGCAGTTTTCTCAAGACACAGAGTTTGAGCCTTTGTAATATAAAGTTTGACTAGCATGGATTTAACTTGCTTTTACCACATTTGAACCCTTGATAGAGTTTCCTCTTTTAAAACCAACCTACCAACCAACCTTATGTATGGTCCTTTTTCTCCAGCAATGCGGGGTGATCTCTGAACACACTAAGAAGATGTGTACACGGTGAGAACAGCCTTCTCTTTTAATTTTTGGATGCTTTGGTTGCTAGTGCAAAGGATTCTAGGTCACAAATTTGCCCCATTTGCAGTGGCTGGTTGGGAATCTGGCTTGCTTGTGATTAGAAGAACTGGTCTTTTCACTACTGACCACTCAAAATAGAATTCACACTTGGGGAGAAAATATGCATTGAACATTGAAGGGAAGAAAAGTGTGTTTCCACAATTGGAGGAACTTGCAAGACACTTGTCACCTGAGTAAAGCCCTATCATTGGAAGTGATATTGCAGAAAAATGTTGAAGAAAAAAGTGGGAAGGGAATTCTTTCTCACCACTTTATTTTACCCTTGCAACTTTGGGAGGGGATACTTTGCCTACAATAAAGTGTCTCTTCTTAATCTTGATATATCAAACATTGACATAAAATTAGCTTTTTAATGTGTTTTCAAAAATCCTCTTGGAAAAGATTCTTAACTGTGTACAGATGAGTAAGCAATGGGCTTTAACTGGTTTCTTATGAGAGATCCAGAAACCTGGGAGCTACACAGCAGCTGTTTAAAAGCTTTCTACATATTTTTTACCCATGAATTGGGCTTCCATGCTTGATTAAAAGCTAAGATAATTTTACTCATTACAAAGAGTCAGGAAGCACATTTTCAGACTAACACAATTTATAAGTCACCAGCTTTCATGAGCTACAACTCACTTTATCAGATACGGAGAGTGGCTTAACTGATGTAGGATTTAAATACATATGGATGAGGTGGGAGAAGGTAGGGAAAGACAGGATGATTATACAGATGGTTTCATGGGGTACAGGTTACAAAATCTTATCAATTAACCATTGTAATGTGTTAAAAGCAGTGTGTGTTGAGACTTTCTGAGATAGGCTGAAAAAACTGATGTAAGCAAGCTCTGCTGTCTGGCACTCAGTTGCTGTGGAAAAGTGTCTTTTTGTTCCAAAATGACTACTTTGAGATGTATAATCAAAGCCATTTTTAGCCATTTTAGGAGGCTAAAATGCTCTGCTGTTACTTTCAAGACCTGATGTCAAACTTGACTCAGTTAATTCTTATGTACAAAGCTTGGTCTGTTTGTCCTGTCCAAAAGCCAGAAGGGGACCGCTGGCAGTGGATGGCATACATGGAATTAGAGGAACAGCATGTGAAGACACCTTATGTGTGAAATTGATGAGTCCTGTGATGGTGTAGTGTACAGTAAATGTGGGGCAAAATTGACATTTGGGTTGTTGCAGGGTCTGATTCCCATGTTAGCATCTTTGTTGTGTTTCATACTGCTTGGGAGAATTTGCTTCAGATGGGTGGTATATGTCTGCAAGTACAGTTGCATGTTGGCTGGGGAATTCTGAGAGATGAAATACAGTACACACATATTAAAGTTATATGTTATATACTGTGTTTCTCCGAAAGTAAGACCCTGTCTTACTTTCTTTTGAGCTCTGAAATAAGCAGAAGGTTTTACTTTCGGGGAGGGCTTACTTTTTGCCGGTACTGGCACCAGTAGGCCGTGGGGGTGGGGCGGGGCCTGTGCATGGGGTGGAGAAGCAACACGGCGGCAAAAGTGTGGTGGCGGACCAGGTACGGTACTGGTGTGGCTGTGGTGGGTGGCGGCGGAAAGGGCGCCGAGCCTGGCACTGGGCGAGTTGGCCCAGATCTTCCGTGCGACCGCCGGAGCGGCCCCCACACTGCCGGCCTGCCAGGGCCCTTCACCAGCAGCCGCTGGTGGAACTGGCTACCACCGGCCCCGCCCTCTCCGTCCCACCACCTGCTTGCCTGTGGCTGTGACGAACCAAACCCTCAGCGAGCCCTGGGCTCCGCCTGCCCTGCCTGCTGGCCCTACTGCTGCTAGGACATTTCTTGGCCACGTCGGGTGCCGTGCGGCCAAGTGGCTGTCCATGCTGCTTGCCTTGCGGAACTCTTTGCCCTCCACCTGCATGCCTACTCGGTGCTGCAGGTGCTGGGCTAAGAGCTGAACCTGGCGCTCTTCGGGCCCTGGCAGGCGCTGCACCTCTCATACCAGCTGGGCACTTTTGGCCTCTACCGGCTGCTCCCGCCAGATTGCCTTCCGCCAGGTCGGCGGCTACTGCCGCCACAAGGTAAGGAAGCAAAGCAGGTGGCGGGGGTGGTAGAGTTGCTTTCCTCTGCCTGCCGGACACCTGCCGAAGCCGCGCAGGGTAAGGTTGCCACGCCCCCCCGCCCAGATGCCCTCGCCTCCCCAAGCGTTTTTTTTTACTAACCTGCCTTTCAGCTGCATTGCGTTTCTCCGTTCGCTTCTCAGCCTTCGCCCCATGTTTGTGGGACAAAAAAAAAAGTTCAATCAGAATTTCTAACTTCTCGCGAGATCTTACAAAGTTAGAAAGTCTGATTGAACAATGTCTATTTCAGTCCACCTTGTATTTATGAACTAAAAAGCCGGTGCAAACTATAAAAACTACAAATAGAAAAATAGAAAAGAAAAAAATTGCGGGGGAAAAAAACAAAAGGACAGGAGAAAGAGGAAAAAAAACCCTTTCTCCTTCATCCCAACAGGTAAAAACAATTTTAGTAGCTTATCTACCATCTTTAAATACAGCATAATTATCCCCATACCTCATCTCTTAATTAAAAACATCAAAATATTTCATTAAACGTTCTTTACTAAAAGTCCAGTAAGGACAACCACATATATTCATATTCTCTCTCTCCCTCTCTCTGTCCCTCTCTCTCTCTCCCTCTCTCCCCCCCTCTCTCTCCCTCCCTTCCTCCCTCTCTCTCCCCCTCTGTCCCTCTCTCCCTCCCTCTCCCTCTCGGGTTGCCGACCCGTGAACTAGGCAAATGTCCCTTTTATTTATGGGTATGCACATCATTCATTTGGACCTATCAGGCAACAGATCCTTATCTGGCCATCCTGCCAAGATTACAAGCAAGAGTAGCATAAGATCATAAATCATAAGAATATGACAAACCACAGTGATAGCCAAAGACTTGTCTTATCCTACATTCTACAGTAGTGGCCAAAATCATGGAAACCTTTGGGGAAAAGTGTATTTTTGAGGTTTGATGGCTAATAACACCACTTTTTTTTGTAGTACCATAAAATTATATATCAATGGAAAGATAATTTAATCAAGAATGTAATGCAACAAAGTTTGTTCAATTATCTGTACTGTATTCTATGAAAAGGCGTAGCCAAATGACCAGAAAAAGGAAGCACAACTTGCTTAGGTTGATATCAGGTAGCTTTCCTTCATCTGATTGTAGCCAATGAGCATGAGTGTTTAGAGAGCCAATCAGGTGTCATCTTGTTTTGGCAATGAGCCAATGAGATCACAGTAGGATTCAGTTATTGATGTCATGTATTGAAGCTGAGAGGAGGACATTTGTCAGTGTGTTATGTGATCGCTATCAAGTTGGTTGGTTTTTTTTGTGTTCTTTCATTTAGTGAGCTTGTAAAACGTAATAAAATTAAAGTAATGGTGCAAAGAGTTGACTGGTTGCCCAGAAAGCGATGTAAAATAGTATTATTAAGTGAACAAGGCTACAGTTATAAAGAAATTAGAAGAAAAATTGGTGGAAACTTAACCAAAGGTGGCATTTCTACTGTACACTTTTCCCAAAAGGTTTCCACAGTTTTGGCCACTACTGTATTTCTAAAGTGAGAACTTGATATCTACGAGAAGGCCACCCCATTTTGCCTCCCCAGTGACTGGATGGCTGAACTTTTAACCATCATTACTAGCAAATATAGATAAAACATAACCTAATTTATGTGAAGTTGGCTAGCCCCTTTTAAAGCTCTTTGCTAATGGCTTTTGCCACATTTTATATTAACAGATTTCATTGTAACTATGCACAGAGTGTGAAGCAGTACTTGGTTGTGGGTTTTTTGGGTGGAGGAATCTCCCTTAATTCTTTTTAATCAATTCCAGAATTATTAAAGAGGTGTCTATCTGATGTTTCCACATCCCATACATTTTAATATTCCCATTGTTTGCCATTTTTCTAAACTGAAGGCCTCCAAGTTTGTGTTATTTTCAACTAGGCAAGTTGTTTCAGCTTCTTGATCATTTTTGCTGCCCTTTTTTAAAGTTTCAGTATATAGGCAATATTATTTATCAGGTGTGGCCATTGGAGCAAATGAACAATTATGGGGGTTTTTTTGGGCGGGAGGGCTTCTCTCTTTCTTAGGTTTCCTAACATTCAGTACTGGGAATTTTGTAGAGGATTAGAGTATATGCTTTCAGTGATAAAGTGATAGAAACCTGTGCCTGGCTATGGGTCATTTACAAGGATGTAGGCCTAATTTGCTGCAGATGTTAAACTTGCCCTGTATGAATTTTTTTCTCATCCCTGGCTAGAGGCAAAGCCAGTGTCTCACAACCTTGGCCATTTTACGATGTGTGGACTTCAACACTGAGAGTTCTGGCTGGGGAATTCTGAGAGTGGTCATCAGCACATCTTAAAGGAGGCAAAGTTGAAAAACACAGGACTTCCAACTTCTACACTGGCTCAGCACCTTGGCAAACAGGATCTTCCAGGACCAGATAATGTTTAAAGTACTATAGTAGTTCAAATACAGTACTCAAATGGATCAAGGCAAACATCTATCCATTTCTGCCATTGCTTTGCTGTATGTCTACCTGCCATAAATACTAAATACCAAAGGAACAATGTGTGCATATTAAAGGAGAGACTCAACCTAGAAATAAGGAGACATTTTCTGACAGAACAATCAACCAATGGAACAGTTTGCCTTCAGATGTTGTGGGAGTTTCATCACTGGAATCTTTCAAGAAGAGACTGGACTGCCATCTGTCGGAAATGGTGTAGGGTCTCCTGCCTGGGTGGGGGGGTTGGACTAGATGATCTACAAAGTCCCTTCCAACTGTATTATTCTAATTCTAATTCTAAAGAAGATCTGGGTACTGGATCCAGCTCCATTCTCTTGGTTTTCACTGTGCCCAGGTATTCTCTCACACACACACTACACACTTCAGCTATTAGACCA